GGATCAACGGCGTAATGGATGCTGATACTGGGACCAGCGTCTGGATCATAATAAGATGCAGGCCAACTAGCATCAGTACATGGAATGTACGAGTATGCGAGCTGGAAAGCTAAACCACAACTTAAGCTTGAAAGGAATACAAAAGAACACTTACCTTGGCCATGTACGACTCAAGAATAACTTAACTGAACTCAATATATATAAGGCAATAAGACACATGCGATATATAAAGCTTTTAAAACATTGTAAACAACTTAGTTCGTTAATGATTAAAGCAATAACAACTCGACTTTTACTTATATAAAAGTAATATAACTTTAGTGGGAGACTCTTTAACCGACAACCACCACTATGAGCCTTAGTGGTGATACAACATTTTACCTCACGTTGCCCAAGGACCATCCTATACCTGGCCGTGATATAGGAAGCTAACTTTACTAAGTGGATCCACTAGCTTAACTTACAGGATCATCTAAAAAGTATAACCCGTTAAATCCCCTGTTGGCCACATGGTTCTTAAGGAGAGTTGAGTTAATATGAACTCGTGTCCCTAACTCGGTGCTCAAGACTACTCCCGAAAATATACTTTAGCTCATAAGTGTTTTTAAACACATCTTTCTTTAGTTTGAGATAATTACTCAAAATCTAGCCCAAAGGCTCTGTTGGAATCGATGTTCCTTTCTTACTCAAATGTAAAAAAAATATTTAGAAACTTCTTTGGGAAATACATAGTTCCCTAATAACTTTTGAGAAATGGACTCGACTTTATGCTCTTGACTTAACTTGAAACTTGAGACTCTTCACTTGGCTTGAAACTCTATACCCTTTTTAGTTGACTTGAAACTTGAGTCTTACAACGAAGTAAAAACGTTCAATAAAGTCTCTTGACAACTTTGAAAAACTTGCTTTGACTTACTTAACTTCTAGGATTAACTCTTGACCTCACTTGACTTAGAAACTAACTCTCCTTGAATTGGATTTTGAATTCAAGGTGTTTGATCACATGTTATGGAGGGATTCTTGATGTTTAGACGTACTTTGGAGTGTCGGAAACAACTATGAAACATAGATACAATACCAAGGAACATGCATGAGAAAGTGTGAAAAGAATGGAGGAACTTGGCGTCCTTGGCGCTCTGCAAGGCACGGGGAGCCAGCCCTCGAAGCTCAGAGAGGCAGTTGTGGCGCACTGCAAGGCGCGGCGCCCCAAGGGGAGAAGGTCAGAACACTTCTTGGGGCGCTCTGCAAGGCGCGACGCGCCTCCCCTTTTCCCCGAAAACTTCGACTTTTCTCCTTCATTTCTCCAACTCTAAACCTCCTCAACCTCAAAGGTTCCAGCCCCAAAATACTTAGAATCATAAACCCTCAACATACAATAGATTTCAATTCAAAAACACAATCGGAAACATGTCCCAAATCAACAAGGGACTTCAACAACACAACCCAACAACTTCAACAACATAACCAATCGTTTCTCGAAAATAAAACGAGTTTGGCGTGTGGGGGAAAGGATCAACCCAACACTATGAACTCACATACCTAGTAGGGATCACCCCCGACGATATCCACGACGATCTTTGACGGAAACTTGCTTGATCTCCTCTTTCTTCTCTTCTTCTCCTCTACTTCTCCTCTTCACTCAAAACCCTCACTCTTTTAAAATGGGACAAACTGATCTAAAAATCAGTCCAACACTTAAATATAACCAAAAGAATTGATTAGGGAAAAGACCAAAATGCCCTTAAAATTTCCGGACGGATTTCCCCGCCAACTGCCCAACTTCCAAAGGCCACAACTCACTCATACTAACTCGGAATCGAGTAAAATCGGTGGCGTTGGAAAGATCGTTCCACGATCTTCGCAAACATAAATAGAACTACACCTAAATCATCCTGACCTAGGAGTTATAACTGTTCAAAGTTGGCCAAAAACTCATCTTTTTCCATACTTACCCAAATTTCCATATTCTGAATTTTTCCAAAAATGACTATTTCCAATTTCAAGCTTCTTCATAGTTATTTCAAATTGTCGGATATTACAACTACACACCAGCCCGAGTACTGATGGACTCTATTCTCTTCCGGTGACGAAATTACTCTCACCAGCTTCATTTGTTACTTCTCTTGCTGTTTGGCATGCTCGTCTGGCGCATGCATCCTATCATATAGTTCGTCAAGCATTACCGGCTGCTGTTTTCACGTCTAGTAAACCATCTAGTTTATGCATTGCTTGTGCTGTTAGTAAGAGTCATAAAGTCCCGTTTAGCAAGTCTACTTTTAAGGCATCTGGCCCCTTGATTTAATTTGTTCAAATGTGTGGGGCCCTGCCCCGGTTGTTTCTAATGATGGTTATCGATATTATGTCATCTTTTTTTATCATTTTAGTAAATACACTTGGATCTACTTTCTTCCCTTCAAGTCTGAAGTTCTTTCTATATTTATCCAATTTTGTATTATTGTTGAAAAGTATTTTGGACGATCTATTAAATCTTTTCAAGCTGATTGGGGAGCTGAGTTTCAAGTCTTGACACAATATTTACGTGATAATGGGATTACACAAAGATCCTCCTTTCCCTATACTCCCGAACAAAATGGTTGTGCGGAACGACAACATAGGCATATTGTTGAAATAGGGAGAGCACTATTGCATCATTCTAATGTTCCTTCTCGTTTTTGGACTAATGCTTTTGAAACAGCCGTGTATACTATTAATAGACTACCTACACCTCGGCTACAACATCAATCCCCATTTTTTGTTCTATTTCAAACAGATCTCGATTACTATTTATTTCGTGTCTTAATTGGTTGTCTTTGTTTTTCTTGCCTTCGTCCTTACGCAAAGGACAAATTGTCACCTAGGACTAAACGTTGTATTTTTCTAGGATATAGTAAAATTCATAAGGGGTATAAATGTTTTGACCCTGATTCAGGAAATGTTTTTGTATCTCGTCATGTCATTTTTTATGAAAATGTGTTTCCATTTTCATCACAGGATGCAAAGGTTCCCAGCTCATCGACCAATTTTGTTAGTGACCCAATAACTTTACAACTACCGTTGTTGCCTTCTCAACCAAACCCCTCATGCTTCCTCTGAGAAGTGTTATCGCTTCTCTATTACCTTCGTCTAGTCCAGCTTTGCACCAACCTTCAGTGGGAACAAACATCCACTCACCACTGCCTACTGCTCCATCTGATAATAATTCATCTCCGGCTCCACTACCTCCTGTTCAACGCATGGTTACTTGTACTCAAACAGGTTCGTTGAAGCCTAAGATTCCCTTTTCCTTGTCTGTTATTACGCACTCTAGTGAGGAACCTACTTGTTATTCACAAGCTTCAAAAGAGGACCATTGGCGTCGTGCGATGACTGACGAGTATAATGCTTTAATTCAGAATGGAACCTGGGAACTTGTACCTCCATCATCTTCTCAGAATGTTATAGGTTGTCGTTGGGTGTTCAAAACAAAGTTGAAATCTGACGGGTCTCTGGATCGTCACAAGGCACACTTAGTTGCCAAGGGGTATCATCAATGTCCTGGAATTGACTTTGTGGACACATTTAGTCCGGTGGTGAAGCCGACAACAATCAGATTGTTACTCTCCTTAGCTATGACTAACGGTTGGAATATCACACAACTGGACATTTCAAATGCATTTCTCCATGGGCATTTAGATGAGGTTTTTTATATGTCGCAACCTCTTGGATTCGTTGATCCATCTCATTCTGATCATGTTTGTCTACTGAAACGCTCTCTTTACGATCTAAAACAAGCACCTCGTATGTGGAACAAACGATTAACTGATGCGCTTTTCTCTCTTGGCTTCTTCGATTCCAAGACTGATAGCTCTTTATTCTACATATCCACTGCTACTGATAAGTTGTTTTGTTTGGTGTATGTCGATGATATATTGTTAATGGGTAATAACCCTGCTCGAATTAAGTCACTCGTTACACAACTTCAGGCCCAGTTTGCTATTCGTGACCTTGGCACTCTTTCTTATTTTCTGGGCATTGCAGCAACCTGGACCAGTGAGGGATTGTTTTTGTCTCAACGTAAATATGTTGAGGACCTTCTTAATCGAGTACATATGGCTGCTTGTAGTCCTGTTTGCTCACCCATGCAACCTGCGTCGAAGTTATCCTCTACTTATGGTGTTCCTTTCAATGATCCTACTTTATATCGCAGCACCGTTGGGGCACTTCAGTACCTCACTTTCACTCGACCAGACATTGCTTATGATGTGAACAAAGTATCCCAATTCATGAATTGTCCCCTGGATGTTCACTGGATAGCTGTGAAACGTATTTTATGTTATATAAAAGCTACTGTTTCCCATGGCCTGTTCTTCAAACGTACGTCAAATAACTTGCTTCACGGATATTCTGATTCGGATTGGGGGGAGATGTGGATGATCGAAAATCCACCACTGGTTTTGCTATTTTTCTTGGTGATAACCAATCTCGTGGTCTTCACGTAAGCAATGAGCTATCTCTAGGTCCAGCACTGAGGCTGAGTATCGGGCATTAGCAGCAGCTACATCTGAAATTACCTGGGTTGAATTCCTTCTTCGGGAGATAGTTGCTTCACATCTACTGTTCTTATCCTTTGGTGTGATAACCTTAGTGCTACCTACTTGACAGCTAATCCCATTTTCCACTCTCGTACCAAACATATGGAAATTGTTTTTCATTTTGTTTGCGCTAAGGTTCGTGCTAAGTCACTTTCAGTTCGATATGTGAGTACTCATGATCAAGTTGCTGATGTGCTCACCAAGCCCTTGTCAAAGTCTCGTTTTCTTGATTTAAAGAACAAGTTGACAGTAGTTCAGCACCCTGCTCAACTTGAGGGGGAATGAAGACAGATGATGCAGCGTTTGTAGTCCAACTAGGATTAGTCTCTTATCTCCTAGTTTGTGTTGGTTTTGTTACTGTACTTGTGTAACTATAGGACTCTTAAGTTAGACTCTATATACATTCACTCATGTACATCACATATAGAATTATTGAAAAGGTTTTACAACTTGCTCATTTTCCAAATCCAGAATCTTTATGGCCACTACAGTTCCACTAGATAAAATGCCTTTGTACACAGAGCCAGAGCTTCCCTCACCAATTAAATTGGATTCATCAAAATTATTTGTTGCTCGTTGAATCTCATGATAAGAAACTAATTGGTGAGTCCTAATCTCCAGTACCTTTTCAACATCTTTGGACTTTCCTTTCTTCTATCGTTTCATTATCCAAATTGAAACGAACAAGAATATCAGAAAGGAAGTAGTAACCACTGGAGTAACAATTTTTAGCACAACCTCCTTAACCTTTGATTGTTTTCCAGGATTAGTGATAGCACAAGAAGGAATCTCCAATATGTGCATTCCGCAAAGACCTTTATTCCCGAGAAATGATTGCAAAGTGGAATTTACAAACATGCCACCACTCGGTATTTCACCTTCTAAATCATTAAATGTAACATTAATGGTTTTAAGATATGAGAGTTTTTCCAAAAACTTAGGAATAGTATCTGACAACACATTTAAATACAAATCCAAGTCTTTTAAGCTTATCAATTTGGCAAAGGATAATGGAATTTTGCCAAAAAATGAATTGTTCGATAGGTCAAGATACTGCAGGTTTTGGAGTTCCCCGGATGTGCTCGGTATCATTCCTGAAAAGTGGCTACTGGAAAGATATAGTTCTACAGATGGCTTTCATTCCTCCAATATCTGATGGAACTTCTCCCTCTATTGAATTTCGTGACACACTTAGATAGAGAAGACCACTCATCTTCCAAAGGCTCAACGGAAATTTTGATGAAAATTTATTAGAATCCAAATAAAGCTTTTGTAGCATGCTAAGATTTCCAAAGCATTCTGGAATTAATCCAGAGAGCTCATTAACTTGCAGAGTTAATTTAACCAAATTAGATAAATGGCATACCGCTTCTGGAATATGTCCCTGCAATTTATTGTTACTTAGATACAACCCTTGGAGTTGTTTAAGGTTACCAAACTCAGAAGGAATATTCCCTGCCAAGTTGTTGTCTTGAATGTCTATGGATATAAGACCGGTCATGTTGCCTACACTTGTGGGGATGAGGCCATTGATGTGTGCATCTACTAAATGAATTTTTTCAATAGTAGATGAGAGATTCCCAATAGAATTTGGTAGAACGCCGCTCAATGGAGTGTTACCCACTTCTAGATATCTCAACATCCTACAGTTCACCAAAGAATTGAAGAATTTCAACTCATGCTCTCTTGGTTCATTGGTAAGTTGATTAGTATGTAGGAGCAGTATTTGTAGCTCACAAAGATTCCCCAAATTGTTAGGAATAGTTCCTTTGAGAGAGTTATCATTTAGCACCAGTATCTGAAGCTTGGAAGCATTTGTTATGAACAATGGAATTTCCCCTTCAAGCTGATTGTCTCCCAAGTAAAGTTCTTTAAGGTTCTGAAGATGAAGAACTGTAGTGGTTGGAATTCTCCCTGAGAGGTTATTGAAACTAAAATTGATCACTTCCAAAGAAGATATGTTGAAAATAGCCTCTGGAATTTGACCAATAAGATTAGAATTATTGGCAAAGCTTAATTCTCTCAAATTTGATAGCTTCCCTAATTCTTGAGGAATTTGCCCCTTCATCCAATTGTCGACACAATCAAGATATTGCAGAGTAGAAATATTTCCCAATGAAGTGGGAATAGTCCCTTCTATTGGATTTTCACCAATTTAAAACCTTTCGAGTTTGGATAAACAACCAATATTTCTAGGTATGTCTCCAGTTATATTGTTGAAAGATATGGACAAAAGTTTGAGCTCTGTGAGTTGGCATATGTTGGAAGGAATGCAACCAGAAATTTGGTTGTTAGACATACTTAAATGTTTTAGATTTGACACAATATTCCCTTCATCTAGCAAGAGAGGACCAGAAAGGCCATTGAATGACAGAGATATGCCAAGTAGTGACGAGCTATTAAACAGTGTTGGAGGAATGGAACCTGTTAATTGATTATCGAACAAGGACAAAAATGCAAGTTGGCTAAGATTACTGATCTCCATTGGAATGTTACCATTGCTCCTATTCCCAGACAAATTGATGTTCATCAATTTTGTGGCATTTCCAACATAAGGAGGGATTATACCAGTGAGCCTATTGTTCCCGAGATTTAAGACTCTGAGTTCGGGTACATACCATGGGCCTCTCCACATTTCACCACTGAGTTCATTGAAAGCCAATGAAATTACTTGAACTCTCCGGTTTTGAAATAGACTTGTTGGTATACTTCTGTTGAGCTGATTGTTTTTAACATCAATAACTCGCAAGCGAGGCATGTAGCCAAGTCCATAAGGGATGCCACTGTGGAAGCTGTTGTTCTGGAGATTGAGAACACTGAAAAAGGACAAATTTGCCAAAGATGGGAAATTGTGCCTTGAAGTTGCAAATCAGGAAGAGCCAAGGCCATAACCCTTTGCCTATTTGGAGTGCAAGTGACACCAAACCAAGTGCAAAAGGAAGTATTTTTGGTCCAATTATTGGCCAAAAAATGATTACGACTTGTAATAAGATTTTGGAAAGCTAATAGAGCTTGCTGGTCAGTCTCATTAGAGGAAGCATGTGATATAGAAAATTGAATTAGAAAGAGAAGAATCAATAAGAAGATGTGCTTCTCCATATTAATTTGTGTGTGTTGTATTTCCAGTGACCAAAGTTACTCCACTATATATATAGCACTAAAACAAATAAAATGTGAAAACAGATTAAAAGGAGGAAAATAAGTAGCAAAAAGAAAAAAAAACATTATTTGGGTTGTGTTTCACAAAACGAAATAAAAGTCATAGTAGAAAGAATAATTGTTGCTAAATTTTCATTATATTGTTAAGAGCAGGTCAATAGGAGTCAATCCTTCAAATCAACCTTATAAGCCTGTGTTACACAACACACATTCACTAATTAGCACAAAATGGAAGAAATTTTAATCTTTTCTTTAGAAGAAAATCGAACGTGACACACTATACTACACACGTCGTCAAGTGTGGTTTCACTTTTTTTTTAAAAATAAAAATAAATTTTAAATCTATTTTATTATTTTTATTTTTATTTTCTTTGAATTCCAATATATAATATATTCAATCAAATTCAAATGAAAAGGGAAACATTATTGTTATAATAATATGAACCTGAAAAAAAAAATTGGAGGCTAAGACTTCCTATATTCACAACTTCACGTAAGCAAGAAATAAATTATTGGGAAAAAGTCTGAAATATATCTGAATTTTGACCGAAATTACTGTAATAATTTCAAACTTTGGACAGGATCTATTACCCCCTACACTATTTAATAGTGTATTTTAAGGATATATAAGTGCTCAGCTGGACAAGTTACTATTTGTAATGATGCAATATTTATGATGTCCACGTGGACACCTATATATCTTTAAAATACATTAGTATTAAATAGTGCAGGGTAATAGGTCTTACCCAAAGTTTGGGATTGTTACAACAATTTCGATCAAAGTTTAATTTGGATATATTTCGAACCTTTTTCCCTAGATTATATGATCCTGATATTTAGCTGATTGTTATTTTTAGGGAATAAAGTCTTAAATATATCCGAACTTTGATCGAAATTGTTGTAATAATCCCAAACTTTGGGCAGGACCTTTAACCCCCTCCACTATTAACAGTGTATTTTAAAGGTATATGCCCACGCGACTATCATAAATATTGCATCATCATATATTATTAAAAGAAAAAGCTCTAAAGATAAAAAGTTGGATACCATTTTACCCCTAAATTAAACTAAACATAACATCTAATTAATTAAATAATATTATTTTAATTATTTTTTGAATTGTAAGTTATTTATTAGAAAGGGATTGTGGAAGAACAAGCGCTATTTAGGATTTCTAGAATTTTAATAATATTTTTTTAATTATTTTTTGAATTGTAAGTTATTTATTAGAAAGGGAATGTGGAAGAACAAGAGCTATTGAGGTTTTCTAGAATTTTAATAATATTATTTTAATTATTTATTAGAAAGGGAATGTGGAAGAACAAGAGCTATTTAGGTTTTCTAGAATGTACATGAATCAAGGTTTCCCTACTTTTAATCTTAAATTAAAGAATATGAAGAGTTGTAGCTAAATCAATATATACCACTACCAAATACAATTTTGTTATCTTGAATTCGTCCACTAGCATTTTTACGTTCTCTTATGGTAATGTTCCTTCTTTTTCCATCTTCTATTGTTTGTTTGTAAGATTTTTATCATTTATAGACTTTTACAAATTAGAAAGGATTGTTTCAATTATATTCTTTATTTATGATTGTTTCTCTTTCTGGAATTTCTTGTTACTATTTTGCGTAGAAATGTAAAATCACTATACATATTGTCTTGCAACGTATCAAACTATCATGTGCTATTTGTCTTGGAGTAATTTTGGTATTCTCAACTAATTACTAATAAGTATACTTATTAGGTTCACAACTATAATGTTTTGAAAATACAAATGGACACAAGAGAGGAATTTATTTTTTTAAGGGAAAATGCATAAGTACCCCCCCAACCTATGCCCGAAATCTCATAGACACACCTAACCTTTACTAAGGTCCTATTACCCCCCCCCCCCCGAACTTATTTTATATATAATTTTCTACCCCTTTTCGGCTTACGTGGCACTATCTTGTGGGCCCAGCGCGTGTTGACAATTTTTTCAAGGATAGTGTCACGTAGGCCGAAAAGGGGTAAAAAATTATATATAAAATAAGCTCGAGGGGTAATAGGACCTTAGTAAAGGTTAGGTGTGTCTCAGGGATTTTGGGCATAGGTTGGGGGGTACTTATGCATTTTCTCTTTTTTTAGGATTATTTAATTTTACTTTTGCTTAAACTAATCAATAGTTGAGGTGTCTATATTCATGAATTCAAATGAAGAGAAAAGAGAGAAAAAGTGAAAAATTTAGGATGAAGTTCTAGGTACAAACAACTACATAATCTCTTTCAATGCTATGAAATTATTCTGTGAATTAAAATAAACATTTTTTACTTAATGCATACTAATTGAACTTTTTTTTAAAAGATTTGTCTAATACTCCGAACTATTTTATCTTATTCATCTAAATGATTATTTTTCTTTTAAAATTAATAATGATATTCTTTGCATTTAATTTTTGAAGCTGGTATGAATTTTTTTTTTAATAAACCAACTAAACAAATTTATGATCTGAGAGTAACAATAAAGCAAATAGCAAGTTTGGCATCTTCACTTTATTTGGAAACACCTAAAAGAATTTGGAGCTAGATGAATTCATAAAGTTAGAAATATGAAGTATGACTTCTACATTGTCTTACAATGACTATGTTTGATTACCTTATATTTACATGAACCAAATTCATTTGATCCGACATTTTCGTGGTTTTTTAAAATAAATTATATATGCAAGGTTTGGTTCATTGCTTTAAATTTATGCATAGGATCGATCTAATATTATAATATTATAATTTCACCCTTATTTTGCAAGGAAGCAAATAGTAAGATGAATTGATTGAGGTTAAGTTGGTATTATATTTTAAAATATAATATTTATTTAACTTTATAAGAGTTTTAAATTATTGATGTCACGCCCCGAGCCTACACCCTGGGCGGGACCGGCACTCGGAGACCATTGTTGGCCCCAAGCGAACCCTTGGCCTGGCTTCCTTAACTCAGCGGAAAAGTAACTCAACAGAATAACTTAAAGCAATGCAAGTTTACACAACAACTTAACTTATAAGAATCTGGCCACAAGGGCACCTCGAATCTCAAAATAGATATTTACATATGTACATAGAAGAGAGACTCAAAACTAACTGACTGACTGTCTATGAAGCCTCTAATATACTGAGATGGATGTTGGGACAAACCCCACAACATCCTAATAGAACAAAACTAAGTACACAAAATAATTGAGTCCTCCGGAAAGCAAGGAGGCTCACCACTACCTCTGGAGTGCTCAGCTGGATCAACGACGTGTAGGAGGCTGATCCGGGTACCTGTATCTGCATCATAATAAGATGCAGGCCAACTGGCATCAGTACATGGAATGTACGAGTATGCAAGCTGGAAAGCTAAACCACGACTTAAGCTTGAAAGGAATACACGAGAACACTTACCTTGGCCCTGTACGACTCAAGAATAACTTAACTGAACTCAATATATATATACAAATATAAGGCAATAAGACACATGCGATATATAAAGCTTTTAAAACATTACAAACAACTTAGTTAGTTAAGGATTGAAGCAATAACAACTCAACTTTATTTATATAAAAGTAGTATAACTTTTAAATGGGAGATTCTTTAACCGACAACCACCACTATGAGCCCTAGTGGTGGTATAACGTTTTACCTCACGTTGCCCAAGGACCATCCTATACCTTGCCGTGATATAGGACCTTACTTTTGCTTAGTGGATCCACTAGCCTAATCTTACGTGATCATCTAAAAAGAATGATACGTCAAGTCCCATGTTGGCGCATGGTTCTTATGGAGAGTAGAGTTAATATGAACTCGTGTCCCCAATTCGGTGCTCAATACTACTCCCAAAAATGCTTTGACTCATAAGTGTTTTTGAACACATCTTTCTTTAATTGAGATAATTGCTCAAAACTTAGCCAAGAAAGCTCTTTTGGAAAACATGGTTCCCTTCTCACTCAAATGTAAAAACATTTACAAACCTTTTTGGGAATACTTAGTCCCCTAGTAGCTTTTGAAAAAAAGACTCAACTTTATGTTCTTGACTTAACTTGAAACTCGAGACTTTTTACGTAACTTGGAACTCTACACTCTTGCTTGACTTTGAAACTTGAAACGAAGTTAAAACGTTCAATAACGACTCTTGAAAAGCTTGGAGGACTTGCTTGAACTTACTTCTTAACCTTGCTTGACTTGACACTAACTTCCCTTAACTTTGATCCTAACTCGCCTTGAATTGGATTATGGATTCAAGACATAATCGCACGTTTATAGATGAGTTCGGGAGGTTTAAATGTACATTAGAGTGTTTGAAACAACTAGGAAACATAGGTATAATACCTAGGAACATGCATGAGAAAGCATGGAAAGAATGGGGGAACATGGCGTCCTTGGCGCTCTGCAAGGCGTGGAGCACCAGCCCTTGAAGGTCAGAAGGCACCTGCTGGAGCTCTGAGTGGCACGCCGCCCCAAGGGCTGGACTTCAGAGTCCCCTTTGGGGCGCGCTGGCAGGCGCGACGCGCCAGCCCCTTCCCCAGAAAACCCGACTTTTCTCCCTCTTTTCTTCAACTCTAAACCACCCTAACTTCAAAGGTTCCAATACCAACCATTAGGGATCACAAAATCCCTCAATATACAATAGATTTCAACTCAAGAACACAACCAACAAGAACTTCAACAACACAATCAACCACATCACACAACAACTAACAACTTCAACAACATATCCAATCCTTTCTCAATAATGAAATGAGTTTGGTGTGTGGGGGGAAAGGATCAACCCAACACTAAGAACTCACATACCTAGTAGGGATCACCCCCGATGATTTCCACGACGATCTTTGACAGAAACTCCTTGATCTCCTCTTCTTCTTCTCTTCTTTCTCTCTTCTTCTCTTCTCCACTCAAGAACCCTAACTCTTTCTCTTTTAAAATGGGATAAAAATGATCCAAAATCAGCCTAACACACAATATAATCTCAAAAGAAATAGCTAGGGAAAAGACCAAAATGCCCTTAAATTTTCCGGACGGATTTCCTGCCAACTGCCCAACTTTCAATGGCCATTACTCGCTCATACGAACTCGGAATCGAGCAAACTCGGTGGCGTTGGAAAGATCATTCAACAAGATTCGCAACCATAACTGGAAATACTCCTAAATCATTTTGAGCTAGGATTTATGACCGCTCAAAGTTGGCCAAAAACTCACTTTTTCACATACTAAGCCAAATTTCCAAAATTTTTAATTCTTTCCAAAAATGACTATTTTCGATTTTTAAGCCTCTTCATAGTTATTTCAACTTACCGGATGTTACAATTGACATATGGAACACACGCGCAACGCACATGCGTTGCGCGTGTCTAGAGACTAGTTATAAATAATAACTTGTCTACGTGGGCACATAAATACATTTAAAATGCACTATTAAATAGTGCAGATGGGTAAAAGGTCCTCCCCAAAGTTTGGGATTGTTACAACAATTTCGGTCAAAACTCAGATATATTTTGAACCTAGACTTTTCTTTTTTTTAACTTCCTCATATTTTGTTTTTGGTAAAATACATAGATAGATACTCAGATTTTGCCTCAAGTATCCGCTTGATACTAAAATTATCTATCCAGTGATCATCTAGATACATTAACTTAATTATAATGTCTCTTAAACACAAGTATCTGATGTAGAAAATTATGTATCTGAAAGTCAATTTTCAGTACATGAAATCTTATTTTTACCTATATTTTTTTTTTATCTAGAAAGGACCTTAATTTCACTATTATTTATTACGTATTGTTTCATAATGTATCGTATTGTAAACCTTAACTTTTGCTTATGACCATCTAAACATCTTATCCTGATTTAAATTGGTTCTATAAGCACACTCTAATACATGAATTGCACTCGTCAATAATAAGGCAAAGTAACAAAATAACAAAATTATTTTTATGAAGGGAAAATGCATAAGTACCCCCCCAGCCTATGCCCGAAATTCCAGAGACACACCTAACCTTTACTAAGGTCCTATTACCCCCCGAACTTAATTTATCTATAATATTCTACCCCTTTTCTGCATACGTGGCACTATCTTGAAAAAAATGTCAACATGCACTGGGCCCACAAAGATAGTGCCACGTAGGCCAAAAAGGGGTAGAATATTACATATAAAATAAGTTCGGGGGGGTAATAGGACCTTAGTAAAGGTTAGTTGTGTCTCTGGAATTTCGGGTATAGGTTGGGGGGGTACTTATGCATTTTCCCTTTTATGAATGGAAATTGTCATATGAATACTTTTTTAACAAGGGGTATTCAAGTTCATTGTCACATGAACATCCATTTTTTCAACTAAGTCGGGCCTGAAGAGATTAAAAAATGGATGAGGTAATTTTTTAAAGTTTACATCATATTTTTAGAAGTTAAAATAAGTACTTTAAGATTATTATTTTTCTAATTCAATGAGTTTGTTAACGAAAAAGTAATCATGTTTTAGATAGACGACAAGTATAAATGCATCACTTTTTTAATGAGGATATATCACCGGCAAAGTTAGAAACGTACATCTGCCCTTTGTTGAAAGAAATTTTGAGTAATGTGAGTAGGCAGATGTTGGAAGGGATGTGACCAGAAGATAGACGATGACGACGTTGCGAATTTAATAATCAAATCATTAAAATCATCGATGTCGGCAATCACTAATCATCGATGGCTCACTGGACTAACGTTAATACATGAAAAATGCCTAAAATCCTGTTTTTGTGATAGCGAGTCCAAGTGATGTTCCTCTGATTTTTAAAAAGCGCATTTCCTGTTCTGCATATAAAGTCCAAAGAATACAGTGATTAGTACAAGGAAATGAAAAGTGCTCAGTTTATCAAAAGAAGTTTATTGAATACAAATAATGAACAGAAAGAAAAACAGTGCATTCAAAACATAATTACAAATACATAAACTAAAATAGGTTCAAAACACTCAAATGAAATTACAAACAATATATGACTCCAAGTAGTACTATACGAAGACTTTACTAAAGAAACAAAAAGCATCATATTAACTTCTATGTTTCCAGAAATGTGTTGTTTCTTTTGTTAAGCCTCTTCACTACTTATTTCATGCTTATTCTTGATTTTGGAATTTCCTTTGTGCAGTCTAAACCCAATTCTATCATGGACGCTATGCACATTTCAGTTTTACTAGTGATTTGTTCTTCCTCACAAAAAAGATTGGCATCCACAACGTCCATCATACTCCCTGAAAATGATTGTGTGATCCATTTCCTCAAGTCAAGATTTTCATTGCATATCTCTTCATCTGTTGGCCTTCTTTTCGTCAAGACCTCCATAACCATGATGCCATAGCTATAAACATCACCACTAGCAGACACTATTCCCTCCGAGCCATATTCTTAGAAAAAGAATGAAAATGAAAAAGAATTACTCATTTGAATATAACATAATTATGTACTAACAGACACTTGCTTTTATGATTTTGGAAAATATATAGAAAGAGACCAGCATACCTGGTGCAATGTATCCAAGAGTGCCCAATGTCTCGGTATAAGCAATGGACTTGCTTATGGCTAAAATTTTAGAAATTCCAAAATCACCAACATGAGCCACCATATCTTCATCCAAAAGTACGTTGGCTGGCTTTAAGTCGTAATGAACTATTGGAGCGACATGACCATGATGTAGATATTCAACTGCCATAGTTGTATCAAACATTACAGTGACTCTTTGATGAAGGTTTAAGTGGCGATCTTCTTTGTACAGCCAATTCTCAAGACTACCATTGGGCATAAATTGCAGAACAAAGGCTCTTATATAGTCACTAGAACATGTAGTAATCACTGGAACAAGATTTCTGTGTCTAACATTTCTCATCACTTCACATTCGGTATCAAACCTCTTGCATACTTTCTTATTTTTCAAATCCAGAACCTTAATGGCCACTGCAGTTCCACCAAACAATGTGGCTTTGTACACAAAGCCAGAGCTTCCCTCACCAATTAAATTGGATTCATCAAAATTATTTGTTGCTCATTGAATCACGTGATAAGAAACTAATTGATGAGTCCCGATCTCCGGTACCTCTTCAACATCTTTAGATTTTCCTTTCTTGTGTCGTTTCATTATCCAAATTGAAACGAACAAGAATATCAGAAAGGATGCAATAACCACTGGAGTAACAAATTTGAGCACAAACTCCTTATGCTTTGATTGTTTTCCAGGATTAGTGATAGCACAAGCAGGAATCTCCAATATGTGCATTCCGCAAAGACCTTTGTTCCCGAGAAATGATTGCAAAGTGGAATTTGCAAACACGCCACCACTCGGTATTTCACCTTCTAAATCATTAAATGAAACATTAATGTTTTTAAGGTATGAGAGTTTTTCCAAAGACTTAGGAATAGCACCGGACAAGGCATTTAAAGAGAAATTCAAGAATTCTAAGCTTATCAAGTTGGCAAAGGATAATGGAATTTTTGCCAAAAAATGAATTGTTCGATAGGTCAATATACTGCAGGTTTTGGAGTTCCCCCAATCTGGTTGGTATCACACCTGAAAAGTGGTTATTGTAAAGATATAGTTCTACAATGGCTTTTAGTCCTCCAATATCTGATGGAAGTTCTCCCTCTATTGAATTTTGCGACACACTTAGATAGAGAAGACCACTCATCTTCCAAAGGCTCACAAAAAAATTTGATGAAAATTTATTAGAACCCAAATAAAGCTTTTGTAGCATGCTAAGATTTCCAAAGCATTCTGGAATTAATCCAGAGAGCTCATTACCATCTAGATATAGTTCAACCAAATTAGACAAATGGCATGCCACCTCTGGAATATGTCCCTGCAATTTATTGGTAGATAGACACAGCCCTTGGAGTTGTTTAAGCTTACCAACATCAGAAGGAATACTCCCTATCAAGTTGTTTCCTTGAATGTCTAGGGAAGTAAGACCGCTCATGTTGCCTATTGTAATGACCCTAAAGGTCATTTTTGGAAATTTTCATAAAATGACCGTTTTACCCCTCCCGATAGTTGCCCCGAGTCCTAATTGTTGTATTTTCGAAATTGGTTTGAAGGAAAATTGATGAAAAGTTGAGTTTTTGGAAAGTTGAGTTTTTAAGAGTTAAAGTTTGGTTAAAAGTGCTATTTCGAGTCATTTGGAGTTTCGAGACTCGAATCGGATTTCCGTTGATTCCAGCAGTTTTAGAATGTCGAAACGGGTCTATGAGAATTTACGGAGTCAAATTTGGAGTTAAAACGAAGATTTGAGGTCCTAAGTTGCAAAAATTGTGAAATTTTGATCAAGAGTTAACTTTGGTCAACAAACGAGGTTCCGGTACTCGAAATGGAATTCTGAGGGCACCGTTGGATTCAGGGGGTGATTCTAAGTCTAGAATGAGTCTTGGTTGAATTTTTAGAGTCCCCGAGTGCGTTTCGAGTTTTTGAGCCTAAAGTTAGTTTCTTGACGCCTTATCGGATATCGGGTCAAGGAGACCTTGAATTCAAATTCCGATGATTTCATTGAGTCTGAAATGTCATTTTCAAGCTAGTAGCATATTGGGTTTGTGTTCGGGAAGTGCCAAATGAGTTTTGGGTGAGCTTTTAAGCTTCTTTGATGCTTTGACACTATTTCAGCAAATTGTGCCAACTAAAGGGTTCATTATTAGTTTTAAAGGTCAAAAAATTATTCCGAAGGTTCTGAAATTTTGAGCATGAATTATAGGACTTATCTGCAAATTATGGTGCATTTTCACTAACCCGAGATTGGACTTTTATTACAAGTAAGAAATAATTGTTTACCGAGTAGAAATGATATTTGACTGGGCAACGAGCATGAAATTGAGCTCCGATTGAATGAGCAGGTCCGTATCATTATTTAAGACATTTACAAAAAAGAATCGGGTCATTTCACTATCGTATGAGGAAATTACGGCCTTTTTAGTGAAAGATTAACTGCTGTTTTTCTGGTGCATAACAGCCATGTACTGTTATAAAAATCTCAGACTGTGTTCATTTGGTATTTTGAGCATATCAGGAGTACTAGAGATCGGAATGGAGTTATTCTTACGGGTTTCTTCTTGAATTAATATGAGGGTTAGTATTCAATCTTCAATTCGACATTTTCTCATAATTTCTTTATCTGGTTTTTTTTTCTATCCATAAATATCTTGGGAAAAATTGGGGTTTTATCGATTTGGACTCCCTTTTTGATGAAAAAGGTATATTTACGATCCTTATGTTATGGGTAAACTGATTTTAACATAAAATTATTGATTCGTCGATTATTTTTCATCATATTAACCACGTACAATTTGGACTTTCCAGGTAAAGTTAAAGTTTGATAAATTGAGAATTTCAAGGTCGATCTTAACTCCGTTTTTGATAAAATTTCATATTTGAACTCATCTAAGCATGGGTAAGATGTTTTTCAAGAGATATTTCATTTTCGAGTCGGGGTTTCGGATCCGAATATTGTAGGCTTCTTCAAGAACGTGGATTTTCCTTCAAATTGAGTTTGTGAATTGATTTCAACTCCGTTTTCAAATTGGTTTTCACCATTAGCTTCCAAATACTTTAAGGATCATTTTACATAAAAAATTTCCCGATTTGGGTATCATTTTCCGGTATGAGACTTTTGGACCGTTTTGCCCTTTTTCCCTAAATTTCTTGATTTTGGTGTCATTAGACTCGAATTGTGATTGTGAATAATTGTTTGAATAGATTATCGTGATCCGGATTATACTCGAAAAGGAAAGGCTCAAGTCAAGTAACTTTTGGAGTTCGTTTTAAGGCAAGTGGCTTCCAAACTTTGTAAAACTCTTAGACTACGCATGACTACTTTCCTAATTGTGTTGGGGAGTAATGGGGATTGAGGATGGGTTTTATTTGTTGATTGAAATTGTTGTAAATGAAAGATGGGGAATAAAATGAGCTAAATGTGTTATATGTGACTTGAATTTCTTGAATAAGTCATGTGATAACTGATATTGAGAGGATAGAAGAGCATGAGTAGGCTATGATTGATACAGACATTAATGTTGAGACAGATGATGTGTAATACTATGATGTGGCCGTGATATGGTTGTGATTGAGACAGGTGATGTGTAATACTATGATGTGGTCGTGATATGGTTGTGATTGAGACAGGTGATGTGTAATACTATGATGTGGCCGTGATATGGTTGTGATTGAGACAGATGATGTGTAATACTATGATGTGATCATGATATGATTGTGATTGATGACATGTGCATATTCATTATTCATCCCATGTGTGAACTATCTATTGCATGAGTTCTGAGACACTGATATGAAGATGGATGGATATGAGACACAGTTGAGACTAGTTTCGGCTAGAGATATATGAGATGGACTAGCTCCGGCTAGCGATTTGGATGCCGATGGGATTTGGTTCCGGCGGTGATACATGGTCCATGTGTGGCCCCCATGGGTTCTGATTTGAGTATTCAGCGCGGATTGATTACGTCAACAGATGTGTATCATAGGACAGATATGCATCACGACTACATGACATCATTATTGCATTTTGCATCGCATTTGCCTTATCTTTGTCTGTGATGTGTGGATTGTATCGATTTACCCTTCTTATGTGGAATTTGATCTACTTGCTCTTATTTGTTGATCTGAGGTTGATGAGGATATACTGTTGGTTCTGGCTGTTGAATATGATCTGTTTAGTTTATGTTGGTTGGTTTGCTGCTAGATTGAAGTTTCGGTGGTTCGGTTGGGATTGAAAGGAGTAGTTTGTAGCTGCTAGTTTTGCTTAGTTTAGAGTTACTTGCGAGTACCTGTGGTTTTCGGTACTCACCCTTGCTTCTACACAATTGTGTAGGTTGACAGCACTCTCTCAGATTCAGCTTAGTATTTTCTTTAGCAGATTGAGCTTCGGGACATACTCGAGAGGTAGCGGTTCATTCCAGACGTGCCCTTGAGTTATCTTTACTTTCAGTTTTGTTCAATTCGAGAACTATACTCTGAGACTTGTATATTTTTATTCGAATTCTGTATTTAGAGGTTTGTACATGTGACAACCAAATTCTGGGTAGTGTTGAGTCTTAATTAAAGTCTTCCGCTTATTTGTTATCTTTTATTCTCGTATTTCTACTTCTCTATCGTTGTGGTTGGGTTAGGCTGACGTGTCCGGTGGGAAATGGACACGTGCCATCACATCCGGATTTGGGGTGTGACACCTATACTTGTGGGGATGAGGCCATTGATGTGTGCATCTTCTGTATTAAAGTATTCAATAGTAGATGAAAGATTCCCAATAGAATTTGGTAGAATGCCATTCAACGGATTGGAACCC